GTCTATTTTATAAGAAGGACAAACTAGACCCTGTCTATTTTATAAGAAGGACAAACTAGACCCAGTGTGATGACGCTAGATTAGGTTAGAAGTCAAGTAGATGGTAGAAACAGACTATACTTAGTTAGTTAAACAGACCAATGAAATACAGGAGCTGACCGGTCACATGGGTCAGCTGACCACTGAAGCGTGCGAGAGCAGACAGACGTTGTTAGGTAGCAGAAGGGAACACTCAGACAAATGTAGAGTTAGATAGAGAGTTAGAGGAAATTAGTGTTAGGATTTGTCATGGGAGTGCGTAGTTAGTAGTATTAGTAGACAGCATATAGTATACACTAGTTAGGTAGAAGTAGGAAGTTGATTTATGTAAATAATTAAATAATACTATATCTTGAGTCGGACTTGTGTGTGGTGATTTTACACAAAAACTAAACCAGGCGGGTAACATTTTTCACCCCCACCCTCACACCCAGTCAATTCTATAAAATTTACAAACTACACCTAGTCTATTTTATAAAAAGGACAGACTAGACTCGGCTACTGTTTAAAAGTGTCTTAAAACTATCTAAAACTATGTATCTTCACTTTTACAATATAATTTAATAAAAATATAGCCTATATATTTATTTAAAATAAAATGGGATCGTATATTTCATTTTGTAACAACGAACAATTTCATTGGTCCCGTATTCTTTTTTACCATTATTGATTGAATATACTTATTTTAGGTTAAAGGAAAATTAAATTTAAATCTATCTGTTCTCAAAACGAAGTAAAATGAAGTCAAGTGTAGTTTAAATACAGTATTCATTTTTTTTTCTTCTTTCTTTTGAATTATTTTTGATGGGGGTTTTCAACTATTAACTAATTTTCGATTCACCATGATTTGTGGGAACCTTATGCTTTGCATTATTATATTTCGACTTGAGTTCAAGTCTCTAGATAATTTTTTAACGAACACATAGCGTGTCGGAGTCACACATTGTTACAGAAATTTTATTATAATGCAAATATGATATAAGAAATTGATGGTGTTTGTAATAAAGAATAGCAAAAAACATTAATTTTAATATTAAAAATATTAAAACTAATTCTTTCTATCACACAAACTAAATTGAATGTTAGTCTTTCTATGATCAGACTTTTTCGTTTTCAATTTAACTATAGAAGAATTAATTTAATTACAAAACTTGAGCCGTCTTTAGTAATTACTGGGAATTTAAGTACACAGCTATTAATAAATTGGCGCGCCGATGTGTGATAATGTGAAATGTTGTGAAATCTTGTAGCTAAACTTTCAAGTTGTACTTAAGATATCGTGAGCTGGGGACAGCCACTTTTCTAGGAGAGATAACTCCAAAATCAAACAACTGCTGCCTTGTAGTTTGTTCTTGGTTGAACAAAGGCTATGGAAGCAAATCCAAAAAGAAAAGCAGGCTCAAATCGGAGTCAATGGCCTCAATGGCGCATAACCAGTTGACACGTATCCTTAATTGTGATGGAGGCGTGGTCGAGTCGGCAAAAGCTCATGGTTGATAAATTCGAAAAAGTCTCGAGTTCAACCCTCTGGCAGATAAGGTTCGATCCCTTCCAACACTAAAAATTAAGAACAAAGAAGAAGAAATTTGAACACACCGATGTCTCTCGTGTCTTAGTGAGATAACGTGAAATGGTGTGAAATCTTCTAGCTAAACTTTCAAGTTGTACTTCAGATATTTGGACACACCGATGTATCTGGAGTCTTATTCCAGTGTTGTTTTCAGCTCATTACGTCCATCATCACCTACGTCACTACTGTGTGATTGTGTCTGAGGTTGATTGAACTTATCAGATACGTCAGAGTTCCTTCCAGGCATCTCTTCGGAGGGCTCCCCACCCCCGAGAAAATGTCTACCCCCACCCCTAAAGAACAAAATAATTTATATAGGAAATATATACTTTTACCAGTGTCCGCTCCCCACCCACCAGAAATTAATTTTTGTCCTCCCTTCCCCCCCCCCCTCCGGAAAATTTTAAATGCCCCCCCCCCCCCTCCCGGAGAAAAAAAGTAAGCACATCAAAACTATTTTATATAATTTTAAAACAAAAATTCAGATTGCGCTCAGATCACGCCTTGTCTCCAGTTACTGATCCCCCCCCCTTCTACCTCATCCAGATAGTCTTTCAGACATATCTTGTGAGGGGGTAGCACGTCCCCTTGTGTATGTGTGGCATTGGTGTGGATATGGATATTCCCCCCCCCCCCCAAAGAAATTAAATGTATATTAAATGTATATATACAAATGTATATATATATATATATATATATATATATATATATATATATATATATATATATATATATATATATATATATATATATATATAAATTGTCAAAAAGCGTTACGTCATTTATGGATGACCCCTTAATTATAATTATAATTATTATTATAAAGTAAAACAAAGTCATGTTCGATTTAAATGATAGCGAGATGTAACTAATACATTGTTGTAGTTTTCTCTTCTTTTTCTTTTAATCTGATTGAGTTTTTTAACAGTATCTATATTTAGATTTCTGCAGTTTTTTACTTGAGTTCAAGTCTCGAGATAATAGTCTTAAAAAGCTGGTTCCAAATGGTTGCAAAAGTGTGTTGCCAAAAAGCATATTTTTCAAAAAAAAATTGAATATTTTATACCATTTGTGTAATAAGGACAAAGTTACTTCCGGTTTCATTATGGATAGAAATAGTCAAACAAATAATAACAAAATAGTAATTTAGCATACACTTTTATTTTTAATTTGGATTACTATAGTCAGGGTGTTGTGGTGATTAGGGATGTTATATTATTTAATATAAATACAATACTACGCCATACACCATAGAACACTATTGTGTATTTTTATCATGGTAAATAATTGTTCTAACTTTTATTGATTTAATCTCCACGCCCATTCCGGTTGACTTCAAGGAGAGGTTGTGGGCAGTTTTTGAAAATATTTGAATTGATAAAATAATTCTAAACGGCTTTTCAACGGCTTATATTCGATACTAAAATATAAAAATGAGTGCAATCGATGATTCCCAAACGGCTTTAATTTTTACAAATGTAAAATAATTTTATCGCATGCCGTATTTTTAAAAGTTTTTTTCAAAAATGGAGTATGATTAAATAGTTAAATGAAGGCTGTTATTCTGAATGTTTTTTTTTTTTTTTTGGAATATTTTTAAAAGGTTTTTTTAAAAATGGAGTATGATTAAATAGACTTTTGATGACAATTGCACTTGATAAAACTAACCTACATAAATAGATGAAGGAAAATAATATAAGAAATGTAATGTAAGAAAAATATGGTGTGACAAATAAAAAAAAGAACCGAAACATTAACTTGAATGGTGTTATGTTAAAAACATTTATTATGATCACACACAATAAAATTAAATACATTATTCTCAGAATAAACTTTTTTTCTATTTAAATTTTTACTGGAGAAAAATGTTTGTTTTTAAATCTGTGCCAACTATGGTTCTTACTGGGTATTAAACTTCACAAAAACAAAGCTATTAAAAATCACGCGCGCCGACATAAGATAACGTGCAATGGTGTGAAATCTTCTGGTTCAACTTTAAAAGTCATATTAAAGTATCTAGAAACTTAGATGTCTCTCGCATATTAGTCAAGTGTTGTTTCCAGTGAATGACATCCATCCAGTGGCGTAGGGCAGGGGGGGTAGGGGGGGGGGGTCATAACTCCCCCCATAGACCCCTCGGTATATTTATAAAAAGTATGAGGAGGGGTGCAAATCGAAAGTTTGGAAGGGGGGGGGGGGTGCAAATGGAAAGTTTGAGGGGGGGGGGGGTGCAAATCGAAAGTTTGTCCCCGGGTAAAAATTGGAACCACCCCCCTCCCCTTGAGACGATCCTGGCTACGCCACTGCATCCATCCTTATACTTCGTCAACACCGTGTGATGGTGTCAGAGCTCAATTGAACTAATTAGACTAGTATATCAGCACTATTGTATATAATAAAGGGTCATCATTAAATGACGTCACGCTTTTTTTGACGATTTTTACCCCCCTCCTCCCCTCCATTACACATCGTCACAAAAACCCAGACCCCCCCCCCCCCCTGAAATGACGTCACACCTCAGCCTACAACCCCTCTCAAAATTGCAGTTGAATTTTTCTTAAAACATGGATATTTACCAAAATCTTGTCTGAAATCAATCAAAATAGAGTTTTTTTAATCAATTCCTATTGCAACTTAGTAAAACAGGTTCCTAAAACGCGAAATAACGTCTAAAATTAGTTTTCTAACATTGATTTTTTTATAAAGCAAAAGTGTGACGTCGCACCATCTGAAACGCCCCCCCCCTCCCCCTCATCACACACCGTCACAAAATTACGAACCCCATTCCCCCCTACGAGTGTGACGTCATTTATGGACGACCCCTAACATAAAAAAAATCATATTGGGCTCATATGTAAGGACTCAACGACAATAAACTGTGACATCAAATGCCCACAACACATGTTCATCATTACAAACCCACCATCACAAAATTAACCATCATTGTCACGCAATAATAGCCCACCATCACAAGCCCACCATCACAAGCCTATCATAAAAAAAAACCATCATCTTAATCCCACATCACAAGCCCATTATCATTAACACCATCAAAGTCCACAACACAAGCTCACCATTACAAACACACCATCACAAATTAACCATCATTAGCACACCAACATAGCCAACCATTATAAGCCCACCATCATAGCCCACCATCACAAGCCCACATCACTACCTCACGATGAGCCTACCATCACAAGGTCACAATCACAAGGTCGCAATCACATGGCCACAATCACAAGCCCACAATCACAAACCCACAATCACAAGCCCACAATCACAAATCCACAATCACGAGCCCACAATCACAAGCCCACAATCACACGCCCACAATCACACGCCCACAATCACCAGCCCACAATCACAAGCCCACAATCACAAGCCCACAATCACAAGCCCACCATCACAAGCCCAAAAAAACTTGAATGCTCATCAAACTCCGTCACACCTTCACCGGATACCTCCACGAAGACCCGGTCTCCGGTTGTGAGCTGAAACACTCCGGCTGAAATTTTAAAAGAAAAGACACTTGATAGATCGTACTTGTCTACCTTTAAATAATAGTCTACCTTTAGATAATACCTTTAAACTGTGGATTTTTGTTCCGCTAAAGTAAGTGTATGTAACTGTAACACAATATCTTCAAACTGTGACTTTTTGACACACTAAAGTAAAAGTGTATGTAACTGTACACAATACATTACAACTGTGTCTTTTGTCCCACTAAAGTAAAAGTGTATGTAACTGTACACAATACCTTCAAACTGTGTCTTTTGTCCCACTAATGTAAAAGTGTATGTAACTGTACACAATACCTTCAAACTATGACTTTTTGTCCCACTAAAGTAATGTAACTGTACACAATACCTTCAAACTGTGAATTTTTAACCAGCTAACAGTAAAAGTGTATGTAACTGTACACAATACCTTCAAACTGTGAGTTTTTAACCAGCCAACTGTAAAAGTGTATGTAACTGTACCCAAATGTACACAATACCTTCAAATTGTGAGTTTTTAACCAGCTAACAGTAAAAGTGTATGTAACTGTACACAATACCTTCAAACTATGACTTTTTGTCCCACTAAAGTAATGTAACTGTACACAATACCTTCAAACTGTGAATTTTTTTCCCGCATACAGTTGTTACAGCAGGTATGAAATAATCTTAAAACAGGTTTTGTTTTACCATGTCTTGACAACACCATTCGCGCTTCCCAAACCTACATGAACAGAAGTATTTGATTTATTTAAGCAACTAATTATCTGTTTAGAACAAACGGTAAATAATTCAGATGCTAGCCCAAATTATAAAGCACACTAACCTTCTGGTGTAGCCCGAAGATTTGAGTTCGGATCCCGGCCTCCGGTCAGAGTTTCTTCCATGCATCTCTTCAGACCCCCCCCCCCCCCCCCGAAAAAAGTCTACCGCCCCCCCCCCCCCCCGAACGAGATGGATTTTATATAGTAAACATACACTTTTACTAGTGTCCGCCCCCCCCCCCCCCGAAAAAATGTTGACCGCTTCTCCCCCCCTCCCCCCCCCCCCGAAAATTTCAAGTGCTCCCCCCCCCCCCCCCGGAGAAAAAAGTATGGAAGAAACACTGCCTCCGGTATCTAAGGCCCTGAGCATAGTGCAGACCACGCTATGCATGTGAATGCCGAGGGCAGTGAAACAGATGAACTCTACTTCTTCTGACTCGTAGTCTCTGGGACACGAACGGGCAAAGATGCTGATGAACCGTTGGAATAGCCTGCTTGATATGGGCTAGTTATAAGCTCTAAACATAACATACTGTTAGATGTGCGTACTTAATACGGTCCAGCCCTGTACATAAAGCACACTGATCTGCTGTTGGGTTTGCGTACATTTTTTGGTCTAGCTGTAACCCAGTACATTAAGTACACTAACCTTTTGGTAGATTTGCATGCGTAATGTGGTCTAGCTGTTACCCGATACATAAAGTACACTGACCTGCAATTGAGTTTGCGTACATAGTGTAGTCCACTGTAGTCTAGCTATTAAATTAACCAGTACATAAAGTACACTGACCTGCTGTTTAAAAGACCGACAAGGTTTCGCACTGTCCGGCTTAAAGTAGATGCTGCAGTAGATGACGTAGAGGCCTGACGTCAGTATGGTCACCTGACCAGAGATGACGTCGACGTTTGTTTGGTGAGTAACCAATGAGTTGGTTGCATTTGCACGTGAGATGTTCACCACCACAAACCCATTAAACTTGAGCCTCTCTCCTGTAGCGGGTGAATTGAGTCAAGTACACACGGGGAATCGTGAAGATAAGTAGACGTACTTTAGGTTAAAGAAAATCAAATTCATGTTGTTCGCACTACTGTACTTCCAACCGCTGGCTTATATCCAAACCCAAAATTAACACTGGTATTGAACACAACTCCTTATACTTATTTCACTTGGCTAACCTTGAACCTAATTACAACTATAATCATAGTTTTAATAACAATAATCCAAAACCTAACTGAAAACATTACAAAGTCCGTATCAACAATCTTATATAAATCAGTGATACACTGGTGAACACTTTGATACGATAATCAAAACGTTGACTAACCTGTGTCGTCTGACTTTGGCGGGATTAAAAACAGGTGAGCAGACGGTGAAGCCATTGTGACGTTTGTAGTATCAAACACTGGACAATTTAATAGAAAAAAAGTCATTAATTGTTTAAGGTTAATATTATTTGAAAATCACTATTCATCCAAGAAATTTAGTTTGAGAAATAGATTAAAATAAATAACCCAGATCTCCAGAAACATGCTAAGTTAAGTAGGACATACAAACGGAATTATTTATTAATTTTATTTAATTGAGTTATTTTGTATTATCACTTCGCATTTAATTATAAGAAATATGTTTCACCCATAAGTTAGAATGCACATTGATAATAACCCTCAACATTTGTATATTTCTTTTAGTTTTTAATGTAGTGTTGTTGGCATCAGTGGCGTAGCGAGGTCGGGTGTCACCCGGTGCGGCACTTAATGGTGTCACCCCCCAGAGGCGCAACGACCCTTCCCGGGGACAAACTTTCAATTTTCGATTTACAACCCCCCCCCCGCACCCTCAAACTTTTGATTTGCACCCCCCCCCCCCCCTCAAACTTTCGATTTGCACCCCCCACCTCTTAAAAGGCTATTTAACACTCTAATGAATCACTCTATTAAGTGGAATTATCATTTTTCTCTATCTATTTTGCTATTTTTTGCCTTGATGTCACCCCCCTAAATGGTGTCACCCGGTGCGGTCCGCACCCCCCGCACCCCCCTCGCTACGCCCCTGGTTGGCATACCCAAAAGGATCGTGGCCAAACTTCACAGCTTACAACTCAGATGAAACGATCACGTCCCAGCATGACCCATTTTTTCCCACGTTTTCTTTAACTTGCTTTCTCTGTGTCTTTGTTTGTTTGTTTGTCTTTCCAATCAAATCTTGCGATCGAAATTTCTGGCACTTCCCAGTTAGCTAGCGCGCTGAAATTTTCAGGGAAGCTTTCTTTTGGATGACCATTGAATATTCAATTGTTATTATTACTAAATTGATCAATGAAAACATTTTATTGAGCATTTTAGACCGCTATATAATCTATATATATAATTCTCCTCTGCTAGCCATTAGAAAAAAAACCAGCGACGCGTACCTCGCGCGCAGTGAAGCGAACGATCACATGTCGCCACAGGCTTAGGGGCAGAGAATTTAGCTTGAACCGAGTTTAAACTTACAGGAGGTAGGCCAGTTTGGGGGAGACGATATGGTCGAGTGGTTGGGCACACGATTGCTATCCCACTCGACACGGGTTCAAATCTATGTGTTCTAGGCAGTAACGTATTCAAACAACGTGTTTTTTACGAGTTGTCTTTTTACGAGTTGTCTTTTTACGAGTTGTCTTTTTACGAGTTGTCTTTTTACGAGTTGTCTTCGTTTACCCCAAAAAAAGTGAAAAGATAAAATCGATAGCAAGATTTTAATGCAAACAAACAGACAAAGACTAAAAAGTAGAAAATAATAATCATTAAAAAAAGTTTTAAAAAACCCACGTTTTCTGATTGAACTAAAAAGTAGAAAATAAATGCTATAGGCCCTACATCACAATAATGCAAGCGATCACTCTACTATAAGCGAGCAAAAACGTGGGGCGCCGTGATTTTCTTACAGTTTCTAATACTGTTGACTCTCTACAAGCTCCCTAATAAAAGTCAATAGTATTATCTAATCAATAGTAATATAACTTTTACTTCGGCGCCCCACGTTTTTGATCGCTTATAGTAGAGTGATCGCTTGCATTATTGTGATGTAGGGCCTATAGCATTTATTTTCTACTTTTTAGTTCAATCAGAAAACGTGGGTTTTTTAAAACTTTTTTTAATGATTATTATTTGTTGTAGCGTCAATTTTTTTGTCATGGGTTCTAGTGGGTACCAGTGGGTACCAGTGGGTACCAGTGGGTGTCAGGGGCGTCACTAGGTCTAGGGACACCCCGTGCGGTTACTAAGGGCGTCACACCCGCAGACGAAATATACATTTATATTTTGAGGAATTTGGTGTCACCCGCATCCCGAATACTGTTACCATTTGCTTTATGTAACTGCAATAATCTATTGAAACGCAGAATTTCTACTTCAACTTCGCTGTCTTGTCACCCATTTGTTTACTGTCACCCGGTACTGTCCGCGCCCCCTCCTCCCCCCCCCCCCCCCGTAAAATAAATTAGTAATAATCGTATCTGGACGCCGTGCTATCAAACTACCGCAACAGGTGCTCTAACCAAATATGGACCCACCCCTTCTGTCAAGTCTTTAAAGAATACGAATTTGTCTTTTTTAAAAAAAATATTTTTAAATATTTAAAAAAAATTTCTTACACTGAAATTCAACAGAACTCGCATTTATCTGTTTCGGCTGTTGAGTAAAGAAATATTTGTAAAGATAGGTTTATATAGTAGAAATAGAGTAATATATTAACGTATATCCTTTCAACCAGATAGAGGTTAACGTATATCCTTTCAAACTATCCTTCCAACCAGATGGAGGCTTGGAATCAAAGGTCATACCTTTGAGCTTTCTGTTGAGTTATTCATGAGCCAGACGACCACGACAGCAGCTAGACAGGCCAAGCTTGTCGCTACAGACAGCATCGACCCGACTAGGATTAAACAGGAGCTGTTGGTAAACACAAAATACTTTCCATTAATTTGGTACTACGGCGGCTGAGAATAATGCTGACAACATTATGCTCTTGTAAGCCGAGGTCATTGAAACAGATGAGCTCTACTGCATCTGCCCCATGTGTCTTGGGCACAAACAGGAAAAAGATGATGATGAATTTGGCACTAAACTACATATAGGTAAATGTTATGCAACGCTTTCGGCGGTGTAGAAAACAGTTTCTTCCAGGCATCTCTTCGGGGGGGGGGGGGGGGGGGGGGGGGGGAAGGGGGCGTAGAAAGTCAACCCCCCCCCCCCCCCGAACGAGATAGATTTTATATAGTAAACATACACTTTTACTAGTGTCGTCCCCCCCCCCCCCCCCCGAAAAATGACGACCGCCCCCCCCCCCCCCCTTTAAAATATCAAGTGCCCCCTCGGAGAAAAAAGTCTGGAAGAAACACTGGTAGAAACTGAACTATATTGGAAGTTAGTCGACAGTTTACCATCACAAAAACTTTAAGGAGTATGAACAGAATATCTTCTGGCTTTATGGACTACCTGTCATGTTGAGGATCACCTGGCAGAAATCTTGCAAACAGCGTTAATAAATCTACTGAAGTAAGGCGTTAAACAATTGTTTTTATTCATTTCATGTCTTAAGCTGGTCATAGATTAACACAAACGTTATCAAACAGATGTCTGAGACGAATATTCCAGATTTGTCTAGCCATCTCAGTGCTAAAGAGTAAATCAGGAGGTGATGACTAGGTCCCTAACAACGTCAATCGCCTACCAGCATCACGAGGCAGGATCTAAAATGGAAGCACCAAGGCACAGTGAAAACAAGCTGCCCTAAGGCTACTAAACTTCAAGAATTTAAGAATTTAGGCAGATACTATTAATCTGGATTACACGAGAGACAAGCTGTTTTAAGGCTACTAAACTTCAAGAATTGAGGCAGATACCATTAATCTGGATTACACAAGAGACAAGCTGTCCTAAGGGTACTAAGCTTCAAGAATTTAGGCAGATACCATTAATCTGGATTACACGAGAGACAAGCTGTTTTAAGGCTACTAAACTTCAAGAATTGAGGCAGATACCATTAATCTGGATTACACAAGAGACAAGCTGTCCTAAGGGTACTAAGCTTCAAGAATTTAGGCAGATACCATTAATCTGGATTACACGAGAGACAAGCTGTTTTAAGGCTACTAAACTTCAAGAATTGAGGCAGATACCATTAATCTGGATTACACAAGAGACAAGCTGTCCTAAGGGTACTAAGCTTCAAGAATTTAGGCAGATACCATTAATCTGGATTACACGAGAGACAAGCTGTCCTAAGGCTACTAAGCTTCAAGAATTTAGACAGATACCATTAATCTGGATTACACAAGAGACAAGCTGTCCTAAGGCTACTAAGCTTCAAGAATTTAGGCAGATACCATTAATCTGGATTACACGAGAGACAAGCTGTCCTAGGGCTACTAAGCTTCAAGAATTTAGACAGATACCATTAATCTGGATTACACGAGAGACAAGCTGTCCTAAGGCTACTAAGCTTCAAGAATTTAGACAGATACCATTAATCTGGATTACACGAGAGACAAGCTGTCCTAAGGCTACTAAGCTTCAAGAATTTAGGCAGATACCATTAATCTGGATTACACGAGAGACAAGCTGTCCTAAGGCTACTAAGCTTCAAGAATTTAGGCAGATACCATTAATCTGAATTGCATGAGACACCAATAGAAAGAATGGCCAAAGGCAGACAAACTTTGAGAATTGTTGCTTGTGAATGGGTGTATAACAGGAGGGACTGGGGAATATGATAGTAATGCTGCAAGTGTATAAAATGCGCAATGTCTAGCGGTGTCCGGGCTAATATTTCATCCTAACACACACAACACTCTCAAGTTTCCTGTCCTCAACACAGCTGATTACAGCAGCGTTTAACATTCCAATACTGTATCCAGTATACGCATTGTTGTTTTGGATAAATAATCATAATCTTTTCCCGTTCGTGTCTAAGACACATGGGGGTAGATGAAATACAGCTCCTCTATTTCAATGACCTCGGCATTAGTGTGGACGACACTAAGCCAACTCCTTTGTTTTCCTAACGTTAGTCAGGTACTCATTAGAGCTGGGTAGACTCTGGGACGTTCTAGAGTTTCGAACCCGAGACTTTCAGGTTAGCTGTTGTAAGATCTACCATCTTACCCCGCCGATCCTTAATAAAGATAAATATTAATGGTTCTTCATTATCATCTACACCAAAGCTTTACATCTTAATTAAAAAGTGTTTAATTATTTAACCATAATTGATCACGAGTTAAATTACCAGCAGTTTTCTTGACATTTTTTTTCTTCTGTTTTCTTCTGCTTACACACTGGATTGTGATTACTAGAAGAAAGAGGAGCATGATAAAAATTCTTTTATTTTAAATTTACATTTTACGATTTTTATATCTTTTTTAAATCAAGATTTAAAATATAAGAAAGATAACACACATTTTTAATCGACATAATTATTTATTGTTAATATTTCGGTTATTTCTCTTTGAAAGCGATCAAACGAATAAATTTCTACAAATAGTTAAATTGTCAATTACTAGAAAACTAGAAACATATATTAGGTAACTTAATTTTTTTTTTTATGCTGTCATAAATAGTTATGTACACACCATATCTAAGTTATCGAAACAGAAATGTAAATATAACGACGCTTATTTTTTTACATTAATAAAATCACCTTCTTTGTGAATATTTATGTTTTATTTATCACGCATTTATCACGCGAGCTCTAGTATACTTTTTACATTATCAAAGAAAGTAAAAAGAAGAAGGAGAAAAAACAAACAAAGCTATAGATATAGCTTCCGTTCATTGAGTAGGGCCTACTTATTTAAAAATATTACAACTGAATAACATTTAAAAAGCTGTTGCCTGTCAAGCCAACAACTAAATGTTCAATAACAAGTTAGTTTTAATTAACAACAAAATTATCTTACCTGAGGTAACATTTCAATTATTTACCACGAGTTACATTTAGATATCTGTATTTCACGGGTAGTAAGTTCAACAATTGAGAAGGCTATATCCAAACAGAGCACCGAAACTCAAGGGGAGTCCATCGATACCAAGGGAGCTAACCGAAACTGTAAGCTTGTACGTTCGAGGATTAGTGCATATTATATCTCACTACACAAAACTAGGTCAGACAAATATTGTAAAAAACATAGTGAGAATATACCTAAGATTTAAAATGTTGAAAGTATGCTTCGAATATCTGTAAACTAGCACACGGGTGACTCATTTGAATAGTTTTGTCTCCGTGTATATTTCAAATCAATTGTTTCAGCTTTTGAACTTTGTCCTACTTTTCTCAAGGACGGATTAGTTTCCTGTTTGTGTTTGAAACTATTTTGGTCCCCCCCCCCCCCTCCTTCCCTGAAGTATTTCTTGTGTTATGTGTCTATCGAGACACAGACTACGGATAGAACGAAACTAGGGTCTCTAGATTAATTCTCTAGTACAGTACACCGCTTTCAGTCATACCTGTGCTTTTCTACAAAACTTAGCCTATCAACAAATGGCTAGTGTCAAGCTCTATTGTTCCAGTGACTCGGATACTAAACTTATATAGTATAACTTGTGAAAGGTACAGTAAATAAAAAGTCACATGCAAGTAAATTTTCATTCATTAATTATTTTTAATTACTAATGAACTTGTCAAATTGATACTTTAATTAAATTAATATTTAAATTAAAATATATTCAAAAAATAATATAATTATTTGCTTTATGAACACCCATACTGGGTTGATTGTTTCGGTTGCCTCTTTCGCAGTGGCGTAGGCAGGGGGAGTTAGGGGGGGGGGGGTCCAGAACCCCCCCCCCCCCCATAGACCCCCTCGGTATATATATATATATATAAAGTATGGGGGGGGGGTGCAAATCGAAAGCTTGAGGGGGGTGCAAATCGAAAGTTTGTTCCCGGGGTAAAAAATTGGAACCCCCCCCCCCTTGAGACAATCCTGGCTACGCCACTGCTCTTTCGTAAGGGTATTACATGACATTTGTATGGACATTAAGTAGATTTGACAATGTTATTACTAGAATAAATTATGTACACACGTATCTTGACATAGATCTTCTTCTTTTAAATTTGCTAATGGATTTTTTTTTATTGAAAATTGGACTGTAATAAGAGTGTTCCTGTTTCGAAATGTTTCTAAAATCTTTGAACTAAAATCCAGAATAAACGTTTTCAATAGATAATGAATTTCAACATATGCTGATAATTATATTGCTAATGTCCCTCGCTGTTATATAAAAGGTAAGTTTGCGCGGCGGACAGTTTTTCTTCCAGACTTTTTTCTCCGGGGGGGGGGCACTTTATATTTTCGTGGGGGGGGGGGCTGTCAACATTTTCCGGGGGGCGGGGGAGGGGGACACTGGTAAAAATATGGGAGGGAGTAGACTTTATAGGGGGGGGGGTGTCTCTGCCCCCCCCCCCCCCCCGCCCGAAGAGAGGCCTGGAAGAAACTCTGGCGGCGGAGGGTTTGGGGTCGTAAAAGAGTGGTTAGGCTACACTAACTATGATATTAGTCACACGACGAATATTTCTTGAAAATGTATTTCAGACATGTTAAATACGGTGACGATTTCACACGTTTTTGATCAACAGAATTTGCCTTAAGATCTCGTTTAATGAAGGTACATTAATATAGATAAGATGTGCAGGCGTTACTGGTAAGTATTTTTTTTTTTTAAAGAAAAAATGGGGAGGGAGGCGTGGCATAGCGGTAGAGCGCTAGACTACTATCCAGAGAGTCATAAGGGAAAGTAAAGTTCGTATACGAACTTGAGACCTTCGGGTTAGCAACCTAGCGCTTTACTGCGTAGGCCATGCGTCCCAAAACCCTATTATATATTCAGGTACGAAAAACTTTGCATATTTTTACATGTCCATTAACTGTTCAACCCTCCTATATATTCAGACTAAAAACATTGTATATTTTTACATGACCATTAACTGTTCAACCCTCCAATATATTTAGACTAAAAATCTTGTATATTTTTACATGTTTATTAACTGGTCAACCCTCCTATATCCCAAGCCACAAAACCTGGTATATTTGTACATGTTTATTAACAGTGCAACCCCCCCTGTATTCTCAGGTACAAAACCTTGTATATTTTTACATGTTTATTTACTGCTCAACCTCATGTATATTCAGACTAAAAACCTTGTTTGTTTAATTATTTACAAGTTCATTAAAACTGTTCAACCCTCCTATACCCCAGGCACAAAACCTTGTATATTAGTGGCCTGTTTATTTACTGTTCAACCCTCCTATACCCCAGGCACAAAACCTTGTATATAGTGGGCCTGTTTATCAACTAGTCAACCCTCCTATATCCCAGGCACAAAACCTTGTATATTTTTTACATGTTTATTAACTGGTCAACCCTCTTATTTTCCCAGGCACAAAACCTTGTATATAGTGGCCTGTTTATCAACCACCATCAGCGTGCTGATGTTTGTTGTGTTTGGTCTGTTCGTGTCCTCAAACCACACATTTCTCATGGCTTGGCTCAAACCCAAGGTAGGCCTACTCACGTTCTTGTTTTAGCATCTGAAAATGTGTGAGACTTTTCAAAAACATTGTGGCCTTTTTATCAGAGGAATCATTTAAGCTCTGTATAAAATATCTTTTTTTTAAAACGTTTCTTCGTCAGAATGTATCAATATAATGTAATATATTCCTTTTGTCAAATATATTTCTCCATCCTGAATTTCAGTTGTATACACAGTTTTATTTCCTCTAACTCACCAAAATGTTAACGTTATAGAATAAGCACACTTTTAACGTTATAGAATAACTGCAATTTTAACCTTTATAGACTCACCTCAAAATTTAACCTTATATACTCACCTAAATTTTAACTTTATAGACTCACCAAATTTTAACGTTATAAAATAACCACAATTTTAACGTTAGAGAATAACCACAATTAAAAAGTTATAGAATAACCACAATTTTAACGTTATAGAATAACCACAATTTTAACGTAATAGACTCACATCAATTTTAACTTTATAGACTCACCAAAATTTTAACCTTTTAGACTCACCAAAATTTTAACCTTTTAGACTCACCTCATTTTAACCTTATATACTCACCTCAATTTTAACTTTATAGACTCACCAAAATTTTAACGTTATAAAATAACCACAATTTTAACGTTAGAGAATAACCACAATTTTAAAGTTATATTAGAATAACCACAATTTTAACGTTATAGAATAAACACAATTTTTACGTTATAGAATAACCACAATTTTAAGGTTATTTAATAACCACAATTTTAACGTTATAGACTCACCTCAATTTTAACTTTATAGACTCACCAAAATTTTAACCTTTTTAGACTCACCAAAATTTCAACCATATAGACTCACCAAAGTTTTACCTTATAGACTCACCAAAATTTTAACATATAGACTCACCAACATTTTAACCATAAATACTCAACAAAATTTTAACCTTATAGAATCACCAAAATTTTAACCTTATAGGACTCACCAAATTATTAACCTTATAGACTCACCAAATTTTTAACCTTATAGACTCACCAAAATTTTAACCTTATAGACTCACCAAAATTTTAATCTCATAGACTCACCAAAATGTTAACCTTATAGACTCACCAAATGTTGACCTTATAGACTCACCAAGACCCCTATCATGTCTGTGTGCCGGTGTGAGCTTCTAGCAGACAGACATCAGACAGAACTAGTGGCTAACTTAACCAGGGAATCTAAAGACGGACTGGAACTCTGTTGTGCCAGAGACTGGACACAGCTCTCCCAGCTGTTGTCCCTGGTAAGCTGATTTGTCGCGGTATTACATTATATACATATCATAAATACTATATTATGTCAGTGGCGTAGCCAGGTCGAGTGTCACCCGGTGCGGCACCTGATGGTGTCACCCCCCCCTGTAAGAATATATATATATATATATATATATATATATTATATAATATATATATATATATATATATATATATAAAACTCTCCCCACCCCCCTCCTCGTCACCCCTACGGTGATTGCTTTAACTGTGCTTAGATAATTCTAACGATTTT